GAAGAAAACACTTTCAAGTTGGCAGCTTCGCGCCGCACCATCACGCTCGCCAGGGAGCAGGGAGCGCTTTTTTATTTATTTATTTATTTATTTATTTATTTATTTATTTATTGATACTGCAATCTTTTACAAGATCATAGCAGGGGTGGTACAAAAGATAAACATAAACATTAGTGGAAACAGGCAAACAAACAATCAAAAACAAATGTAATACAAACTTATGTATCTGATAGCTGCAGTGATTCTTCGAGACAAGAGAATCAACAAAAAGCAAGGTACAAACATAGATAACAATCATTTCTGCTGATATTGTTGTGCGCGTAAATCAAGACATGTGCGTTGCGTACAACGTTAAAATACATAAATTCTGAGAGCCGCCAGCGTCGACCTAAGGAGGGCTTTAATAAAGTTTTACTTACGGTGATTTATTGTGCCAAAACATTGATACGGCTATGAGGCATACTGTAAAGGGTTAGACTCTGTATTAATTGTGCCCACTTGTGGTTCTCTAACGTTCTCATATATATCTAAGCAAACAGTTTTTTGTTTGCACCTACTCTCACTTAAATGACGCCATCATGACTGTAGTAAAACGCGTGTCTTCGGCTCTAGGATTGAACCCATATGTGCTACATTATTACGGTAAATATGAGCAAAACGTGCACGCGAATGCACATCGAGTGAGAGTACGTCAAACATCTTCCTTAATAACTTAGCCTACCAGAGTGGACGTTTGGCTATATTGTATACCCTGCTGGTATGTGTGGTTAAAAACAAGTGCGTAATAACAAGGAAAAAATATAATAAATTTATGCTTCAGAATGGTCGTATGAAAATGCTTCACTCTACGTCTGCATGCTTCATCGATGGATTAGGGGACAAACGGGGGTTAAGGATATCATAGTTGGAATTAAGAAGATGAAATGGACATGGGCCGGGCATGTAGCGCGTAGACAGGATAACCGCTGGTCATTAAGGGTAACTAACTAGATTCCCAGAGAAGGGAAGCGGGTTAGGGGGAGACAGAAGGTTAGGTGGGCAGATGAGATTAAGAAGTTTGCGGGTATAAATAGGCAGCAGCAAGCACAGGACCGGGTTAACTGGTGGAACATGGGAGAGGCCTTTATCCTGCAGTGGACGTAGTCAGGCTTGATCGATGAATATTGTGCAAATCCAAGACTGAATAACAGATAGAGTAAAAGTCGAATGCTCTATCTGTAAGCTAGACATTTTCCTTCGTAAGTGCTTTTTATGGCAGCGAGTTGACATCGTAAGCATTACACAGGTAAATGACAATGCCTTCCAGTCCATCGGCCTTTGACAGATAAAAACTGAAAGTGACTCCAATATTTGGCTTGGGGATTTGGTAGCGGCGTCTGTACGTCGGCGTTCGTGTACCGTGGTGGTCTCTTTGGTTTAATTATAGTAAACTAGAACCAAGATGTTGGTCTAGTTCACTATAGTTAAACCTTGCATTTTGTCGCACTGCCGAAGGGAGTCGTGCTGCTCTGCCAGGTGCCACAACAATTCCATCTGCTTAAGAGAAACCATCTGCTACTTCAATAAACCCATTAAGTTAATTTTCATCAGATATTTTGTAAGTTAATAGACACTTATCCGAAGTGAAGCTATGCCCCGCCGCGGTGGTCTAGTGGCTAAGGTACTCGGCTGCTGACCCGCAGGTCGCGGGATCGAATCCCGGCTGCGGGGGCTGCATTTCTGATTGAGGCGGAAATGTTGCAGGCCCGTGTGCTCAGATTTGGGTGCACGTTAAAGAGCCCCGGGTCGTCTAAATTTCCGGAGCCCTCCACTACGCCATCTCTCATAATGATATGGTGGTTTGGGGACGTTAAACTCCACATATCAATCTATGAAGTGAAGCTATTGTCCGACACCAAATGTATTCAGCATAACTCTTCACTTGAAAAAGCACCATCAATATTGCACTAGTTTTATTTCATAGTTGGACACTCCCGACGGCTTTCAGTCTTCACCGTAATGCTCCGAATAAAAGTACAAATTGATAACACTCCCCCGCGCATCGCATGTTCTATCCGGGGGTACACGCGCACGAGCTGGGGCGATTAACGCGGATAAGCAGTGATCAAACGAGCCTGTCCATCTTCGTCGCTCGTGAGGCGCATAACATCCTCCCACGTGTTAGGCGTACCGTCGAATGCTGCTCAAGCAGAGGGAAACCACCCTGCCTGTGTTGAGCAAGCATGAAGGGATCCAGGGGGTAAGTGTGGGGTGTCACCCTAGCAGCAACTGTGAACTATGATCCTGAAGGTCGGGTTGCGATTATGGACGTGCGCGCTATCTCGACAGGCATCAGCGGGTGGATAGCATACCCTTTTACGGGCTGAGCTTTCAAGGCGAAGAGGCTGTGCGTAAGCTACCTTTATTTCTTGAGGGGCTGTATTTTCTTAAACTATCGTTTTGTAAAGTTACGTGAGATCAGATCCGAAATGTTTCGCTGCCATCCTGGCTTGGTACAACATCTTAACTTGTTGCTATCACATTGATCGCTTTGCCCATGCGATGAACCTGTGCTTTTTTAAACACGTTTGTAAAAATATTTGGAGAAGTGGAAGTGCTCGGTAGGAAGTGCTTGCCAGAGAAACGAGAGTGTCACCCGTTCGTCGAGCCATTAAAAAGATAGCAAGTGAGCTCATGCAGTTAACCAAACAAAATACTGGGCCTTAAAAGCGCGATCATGCCACTGCTGATTGACAGATGCCGCGTACTGAAGCGGACATATAAAACTGGAGCGAGGTCAGTGAACTCAAATAAAGCTTTCAGTTAAATGCAAAGTAGAAGACAGATCTGACAAAGAAGAGCCGGCCTTACAGCTGTAGAGAACTAAAATGAAAATTTCTCATCTTTTGCAGGAAACCGCCCCTCGTGCACCTGTTGCTATTTGCCACATTTGATGGAAACGTGGCTCTGCAAAATGTAATGCCTGCATTTTTGCGCTTTTAACGACGCTATAGAACATGTAAGAGCTACGCTCGAGGAGATACATAAATCGCTGACGTCACACACTGCGGCTGATCTCTAAATAAACGCTGGAGTTATTTAAGCTGGGGCCTACGGCAATAAGTAAACAGTGAAACGCATTAAGCCATGTCTCTTCACTTTTTTTTTTCTTTTATGCTGTGACGAAGTGCTTCACATGTTTTGGATGTATGTTTTCATGTTACCACTTACCGTTCGTTGGGTTATCGTCCCCAACTGCATGCGGATGTTGCAGAAAGCCACCATCGACTGAATATATACAACGTTGCTTCTTTGTCTGTTTATCAGACGCAACGAAATATACATTCAGCTGTAAAGACAAGCACTGAGATAGCGTTAAAATCATGATGCTATTTGAGTATGTATGTGAAAGGTAATTATTGTATTTAACAAACGCTGTTGTTTAGTGCTAGATGGAACTGGTTTATAACATTGTACTAAATTTCGTCCCACGCAAAACAAAGGTAATATACAACGTTCATACCAAACGCAGGTGGGGAAACTGTTTGCTTTATTCACAAACCAAGAGCTACGCTTCTAAGCGTGTTGCAGAACGACTTGTGAACAAAAATGTGAATTTGTTGTAACCAAGTTTCTGTAACTAAATGACGGATACAGATGCACTGGAAACTCAGACGACAAGTTAATGAAGAAAAAAAAAAACTACGGCGAAAAGAAGAGAAATGACTGGACAAGGTTAAGTGGTTGTTCGCTTGTTAATTAACTTATATGCACACACTAAACGAGCAAAGGTGTCCATAAAATATAGCGCATATAAGGGTACACAGATGAACGAGCTCGTCCCGTTTCCATCGCTTGTGTATGTCTCAATTTACGCGCCTAATTTTATAACTGCTTTTCACTAAATATTAACAGAAAATGCTGATGCTAAAAAAAAAAGAACGCGAACCGAATTTCAGAAGGACATAGAGAAACCACTTTTATCTTCTCGAGGCATTGTCACGTTCGAGCAAAAGCAATTTTCTACTGTACTATGAAAACGCAGGCAGAAGAATTTTTTTGTAACAGCCCGCGAAACAAAGAAAGCAGTCCGTGGCATTATTGCAATTTGGAACAGCCTTTTTCTGAAATTTTTCTGAAAAGGCTGATACAGACAACTGTGGCCGATACAGACAACTGTGAATAACAGAAATCTGAGGCTCAGCCCCGCCATGGTGGTCTAGTGGCTAAGGTACTCGGCTGCTGACCCGCAGGTCGCGGGTTCGATTCCCGGCTGTGGCGGCTGCATTTCCGATGGAGGCGGAAATGTTGTAGGCCCGTGTACTCAGATTTGGGTGCACGTTAAAGAACCCCAGGTGGTCAAAATTTCCGGAGCCCTCCACTACGGCGTCTCTCATAATCATATAGTGGTTTTGGGACGTTAAACCCCACAAATCAATCAAATCTGAGGCTCAAGGTGAACATTGGATTTCAGGTAAACTCAATTCCTGGACATTAGCTCAACAGTTAATAACGAGGCCACCACTATGAACTTCTGGAGAGCAATGAGTAACTTCACGACTTCAGTTGTGAAACCATAACGCAAACTGGCACAGTAATGCTGCCAATCACTCGCTGAGGCATGCCAGTGAACGTCATTTATGGTAATGAAAAGATCTGCCCTGCTTGGGCTTGCACCAAGTGAGAGACTGCCCCTCGCTTCTGCTTCTCCTTTGCCTGCATGTTTTCAGAGTGCACAAGGTTTGCCGAACATTAAACGGGCCCTTTGACACTCCTTCATCTCACAACCGCGATCTCAGATGGGTCACTGCCGGAGCCATATGAATGAGTCATACATGCAAAACAGGTACCTAAAGTGTGTTTAAGGTGCACGTGCTAGACAGCAGAAGACCCTCTTTCTTCAAACCATGCTCAAAACGTTTCATGACAAAAAAAAAGTAACAGTTGTCTTTGCAAGAGATAGACAGTGGCAGTTAGAAACAATTGAGGATTACGCGGACTTAAGACGACCGTTCTCTTACCTTCGTCGGCACGGTCTCTTCGTAGTGCAGGTCGTCGTAACGAAACAGTTCGCAAGGCTGCCTGGTCGCACTTTCATTCACATACCACGACGCGTTCCACGACGTCGCGTTAAAGTCGTCCGCGAAGAGCGTCGAGTTGAAACGACGCACCGGCAACACCTCGCACTCGTCGTCACTGACGAGCAGTTTCCGAACATCCCGGGTGAGCGATTCGTTGAGTGCCAGGGCGTCCAGTTGCGGCACCACGCATTTGTGGTCCGGCTCCGACAGCAGAAATATCAGATTCATCGAGAAGAACGGAAACAGTATCTGCGAAGGCAACAGAAAGGCCCACAGAAGGAACTTCTGGAACTTGCCGAATCCTCCAAGCTCCTCGATGACGTCTTCGAATTCCATTGTCTATTTTGCTGTACTCCGGGACGATGGGGCTCCCGTAAACGTGCAGCGGCGTGCCTCTCTAAACCACGGAGACCAACGCGATCGAGAAACATAGAGGTGGATTCGATGCTTATCGAAACATGTAAGTGTATTCGAGCTTAACTGAGTCTTAGCGCCCCCTCTACGTTACCCTGTGCCATCGCTGCTGCCATCGCGGCAAACAGCCAAGCTGCATGACCTAGCGAGGATTACGGAGAGAAGGAGAAATAGAGAGAAAGTGAGGGAATACGAGAAAACCTCGTATTCGATGAGTGTGGCTAAACGCGGCGTACCGATCTGAGAGGCGAGAGAAAAGAAGGAGGGGGGAGGGAGTAGACGGAGAGAGACAGGCCTCACGTGCGGTGTTGCAACCTATGGTAGTTTCATTATTTTTGTTGCTCTCGCATTTCCTGTCGCCGACATCGGTACAGACTATAACGCTCACCCTTTCAAGGCAAGCCGTGTTGTGTGCAGCTGCGGATGATAATAAATCCGTGCTGTTGGAACAGCTGTTTAGCACTCAACAAAAGCCAGCATGTCCTGTCGCAGCTTAATTGGCTCACCATGCACCGTGGCGGCCTTATATTGGATGAATAATGAGATGAAGATGAAAAAAAAAAGCTTAAATATACGCTTGAGTTTCACCTTCAAGATTAAAACGCGGTATATAGTGTGATTGGGCCTCCTGCACATCGACTTCTGATTCGCTAGCCTAGCTTCGGTTTCCGGTGCATGCCTCAACAGCGTTGTAAGGAAATGAATGACTTCACACGTAACATTTGACCGTTTCAAACTATCCTAGAACGCCTGCTGCAAATACAGTTGTTAAGTGCCGACAACACCCCACGAAGCTACGCAGATGCACACTTTGTTGGTGTTTTTGCTGCCGATGACAATTGAAAATGTCTGAGCGCATGCCCGTGAGGCAGAGTCGAGGCAAGCCCTTGACGTCCTCTCATGGGAGGCTTAGGCCCGGCCGCCTAAACCTGCTGGTTTCTTATAATAACGCTTATTCCTCTTCCTTTGTGATGTGTGTGTGGGTCGTTAAAAAATGCACTCGTTGCGCAAGTGATATGTTTTGATGCCTGGCGCGATTCTACACTTCAGCAACGCAATACTACATTCTTTCAGGAGAATTTCGGGCATCACATTCCTGTAGTTTTTTAAAATTTTTCTGAGCAGTTTTAAAAATAGCGTGGCTCTGGGGTAGAACACCTCTTTGCCACGCAAAAAGGGCGCATTCTTGTCTAACTCGAAATAGAACATTTTATTGTTTAGTTTATCTGCATCTTTCTTCCATTTTTCAATCAACGAAGCCTTCACTGACAATGATAACAAAATTTCTGTGAAACGAGCTATTTAAAGCTCTCGCCTTATAATCTCCCTTAAAGAATGACGGGTTGTACGCATGCTCTTTTCATGGCTTACATCGCCCCCAACACATTCGCCATTCACTTTTCCATTCTCGATGAATGCGCGATGTGTCAGCGGCGGCTAGACAATGTAATGGCTGTCAGCCATAAAAAAAAACCCCTAATTTAAAACGATGTGTCTCACCAAGTGGTAAATAAAATCGTCCGAGGCTTCTTTCGCAGTAATCGGCATATATAGAGTTATATAGAGGCGCAGCAACATGGTCAATCCCGGTACTACGTATTCAACTGCTTCGTGCGTTATCTACTACCTGCATAAAATGAAACCCGAACAGCGGCAAGCATTCGCGATCGTACAGTGAGCGCCGCCCACTTATCACCATGGAAAGGCACGCACATATGCGCTGAGCTGCCTATCAGGATGTCCGTGCCTGTAAGTCGTGGTAACTGGACGGTGCCCACTGTACCATCGTGAATGCTTGCCGCTGTACGGGTTCTATTTGGCACTGATACGCCTGACAGTGCCCTTGTATATGCCAAACCACTTCTTGCTATTGGCTGATACACACCATACAAATTCGCCTAACACATCATACAATGCTTACAGTAATAATAAAATAATATCTGGATTTTGAGCGCCAGAACCACGATATGGTTATAAGAGACGCTATAGTAAAGGGTTGCGGAAAGGTTGACGATCTGGCGTTCTTTAAGGCAACAGGGTATGCCATGTATTTTAGGCGAAGTTTATGTACCTTTTTGTCCATAACCACAAGAGCTACAATAATCATTTTACTATCATTGTGTTCGTGAGTCATTCCTCTTCTTACCGAAGCGGGTTTAGCTCCAAAATTTGTAATGTTCATGTTTTGTAAATTTTTTACTTCAGGCATATAATTATCCCTCGATAATAGATAATAGATATTGTGTTGCAGAGAAGCACTTCCCCTCAGAAGAATATTTCTCCTTCATCATATTCCCTATTGCGTTATCTAAATACTGGCCGAAATCTAGGATTCTAGATACTGTGGTTGCTAAAAAAAAAACATAAGTACGAAACAAGCATGTTTCGAGAAAAAGAATTGTACTAAGACGAACAAATGACTTATCCGGGTTCAGAAACGGCTGCAGATTGCAAATAACGCAAAAAAAGATTAGATATTTTTGCTTACCCTGTCCCCTTAACACACACTGACATCTCTCACTACACGGCCATTCAGCACTTTGCCTTAGGCGAAGCTAGACCGTCGCGGCCAGCATCGAACTCATGACCTAGGGGTCAGTAGCTAAGTACCGTAACAGCTACACTTCAGCGGCGCACTAGGCAATGCTTGCAGTAGCGTTCATTATTTTACTGCTGCAACGACCTGTAGACTATCACATAAGACCCCCATTTATACGTTTTTGAAGGGGCCGTAAGATATAAATGGAAGAATCGGGAAATACAAGAGCTGAGAAACGAACCGGAAAAACAAAACAAAACATTTAGGGGTATAAAAGTTTTGCTTCAATGCTCATGATTGAAGAAACCGTGCAACGTTGCCTGGTGTGTTCTCTCATGCGCAAGCACAACAAAAAGTTTTCCGAGCACATTTAGTGCAATATCCTTTTAGTAAATCTGGTGCCGCCACAGCCGACACCTGGAAAGGGGTCACTTTTTGGCGACGCCTACGCGAGGTGGTCTCGCTCACTGGATTCCGTGCCGACCGGCACGTGCCCTCGCTATCTCCGACGACAGTGCAGCTCTGGCCGACTGGGTTTGTCCTACGCCACCTCCGGATACCGGTCCCCGACGACGACGACAGCGTAGCTCTGGCCGACTGGATTAGCCCTATGCCATCTCCTGTCGCCGACAAGACATCTCGCCAGTGCTGCCCCGTCCTCGGACTCCTGCAACCGTGTCCATCTTTCCTGTCTTCACCTTACTTCCGTCGCTCGCTATCCCTGCGCCTCTCTCTCTCCTTTCTCTCTCTCTCTCTTTATCTCTCTACCTTTTAATCTTACCCTTTTAATCCCTTCTCTACCCCCACCCCTCGTGAGCTACTGTTGAGGTGTCCTACCCTTGAGAGACAGTTACGGGGCTCACTTTTCTCTTTTTTCATTTAAAATCACTCACCCCCCACCCGTGCGAGGTTGTCACTAGAAGCGTCGGAGTGTCCGAGAAAGAATGGAGCATTGTTAGAGGGGTGTCGGACATCCATGATTCGTAGTAGATGTTCGAACGCCTCAAGAAAGTGAAAGTACCTCCAAGAGCGATCGTCGAAGAAAAGGACACCTGTTCTGCTAAGACAGATTTACCAGCGCGCGCGCACACACGCACACACTGCCTAAATGACTGGTTTAATATTTTGAGCGTAGGGCCTTTTTTGTAGGCATGCGTTGAAACAAAGAGAAAGATAACCTGAAAAGCGATGAAAACCTCTTGACAACTTGTTTCGATGCGTGCCTACGAAAATGCCCCAATCTCTCATGACACACTCATGTCACCTACGTAACTTACAATGCCAATCGCACTCTTGGCTACCTACGAAGACACTTTTCAATGGTTCCTTTAGTCCTTAAACTTATTCTATATAAAACCCTGATTTGTCCTATGCTCGAGTATGCAAGTGCTGTATGGGATCCCGGCACTAACACACTCGTTGAAAACTTAGAATCAGTCCGAAATCGGAGTGCACTTTTCATCCTCTCAGACTATGCACGCACATTTAATGCATCATCTATGAACTTGTTCTTTTTTACAAACATTTCAACAATCCACAACTAAAACAAGACCTTCTTTCCAAACCACACTACATGTGATGCGACCATCCCCACACATTACTTTTTCAAATACCAAGTTTTTTTTACGATTCCTTTACTCATCGAACGAATGGAACCCTCCTGTATTGCCTAAGTGACCGATGTCACTGCTTTAAAGGCTGCTGTTGAATGCGATGTCACTCTTAGCAGCATTTTTCTTTGTCTTATTTTTCTTATGTACACTCTTACCCACTCCCTTCTGTAACACCTTTGGTCCCTGAAGGTACTGAAATAAACAAATAAATAAATAAATAAATAAATAAATAGAACAGTCCACGACAATGCAACAGTGGTAACAAACGCAAATTTCGAAGGCGCTCAGTTTCATGAGCGCTGAAATCAAACTTAAAACTGGTGTTGCTACACACGCCATCTTTGCAATACAAATTTAGAAAGCCCAAAAGTAAGTTATGCGTGTGGCTTGCACGATAGAGTTCCTCTAAATACACTAGAGGGAACTTTGGTGCTAGTGTCTATGGAAGCTGCAACGAACCGCGCTTCAGCGAGCATGAGAATGAAGGATAGTAGATGAAGTTGTCTAATTTACGTACTTTTTGCTTCATTTGGCTGTGCGTGGCTTGGAGACTCTTTGCCACGAAACGACAATAGACAAACGTTCAGCAGTTGCTCTTCACCACCTTAACCTTTAGCAAGCACGCTATAAAATTAGCAAGCACGTTCTAAAAGGACGTACACACATAAGGTAAGTTAGCCAAGATGTCACGATCGATCGTAACCAATTGACCATAACTCACTTGCAAATTGCCTCTTACTGCAGCAGCCATGTTCGCTCTTGAAATTCTGCAAAAGCACCAAAATACAAAACAAAACAAAAAAGAAAATACACACAACACCCTA